TTAAATCATCTATTTCCATCGATGACGGGGTTCTTGCCCTGACTAGTGTAGTAAAACTTTTCTGCTGGCACTGAAAACATAACATCATGCTTTCCTTACACTGTGCATTGTGGCAATAAAATATTTCACAAGTCATGAATCTTATCATTATAATCTCAAGAATATCATTAAAAATCTCAAGAATTTTTTAAATTCTGAATAAAATTATTAAAATCTAAAGAACATTGTAAAAATCTCAAGAATATTATTTAAAATCTCAAGAATATTAATAAAATTTCAAGACTAAAATCTCAATATCATTATTAAAATCTCAAGAATATAATTAAAATCTCAAGAAACCTTAATAATATCATTGAAATATCAAGAATATTATCAAATTCTGAAGAATATTATTAAAAATCTCAAGAATAATATTATAATCTGAAGAATATTATCAAAGACCCAAGAATATTATAACAAGAGGGCCATGATGGCCCTGAGATTGCTCACCTGTATATAGCCCCCCCTCCCTCCACCCATAAGAAGATGTTTCATGCTAAACATCTAAGCTCTAGCTCATTGGGCTTTTTAAAAGAAGATTTTTTTAAGTTTTTACTATACACATATAGTTAAAAACAATGACACCCCTGGGGTGGGGCCAGTTTTGACCCCAGGGCTTTTATTTGAACAAACTTTGTAGACACTCACTAGAAGATGTTTCATGCATAATATCTAAACTCTAGCTATTTGGGTTTTTCAAAGAAGATTTTTTAAGTTTTTGCTATACACATATAAGGAAAATCAATGACCCCTGGGGCGGGGCCAATTTTGACCCCAGGGCTTTTATTTGAACAAACTTGGTAGACACCTATTAGAACATGTTTGATGCTAAATATCTTAGCTCTAGCTCTTTGAGTTCTTTAGAAGAAGATCTTTTAAGTTTTAACTACATGCATATAGGAAAAATCAATGACCCCCTGGAGCGGGGCCAATTTTGACCCCAGGGCTTTTATTTGAACAAACTTGGTAGACACTCATTAGAACATGTTTCATGCTAAATATCTTAGCTCTAGCTCTTTGGGTTCTTTAAAAGAAGATTTTTTAAGTTTTTACACTATGCATATTGGGAAAATCAATGACCCCCCTGGGGCGGGGCAAATTTTGACCCCAGGGCTTTTATTTGAACAAACTTGTTAGACACTCACTAGAAGATGCTTCATGCCAAATATCTAAGCTCTAGCGCTTAGGGTTTTTTAAAAGAAGATATTTAAAGTTTTTTCCTTTCGGTTGCCATGGCAACCAGAGTTCTGCATGGAATTAAATTCTTTGAACAATTTTTAAAAGTGACCATCAAAGGAACATTCCTGTGAAGTTTGGATGAAATTGGCCTAGTGGTTTATGAGGAGATATCATTTAAAGTAAAAGTTTACGGACGACGGACGGACGGACGACGGACGAAAAGCGATCACAAAAGCTCACCCTGTCACTTTGTGACAGGTGAGCTAAAAATCTCAAGAAATCTCAAAAGTCTTTAAACTCTCAAGAATATTTTCATATTGTTTTGGCAGTTTTCTTAATAGCGTGCGGGGAAAAAACTAGGTGTCCTGTCGGTATACTGTCTAATTTTTCTCGGGAAAAACTAGGTGTCCTGTCGGTATACTGCCTAATTTTTCTCGGGAAAAACTAGGTGTCCTGTCGGTATACTGTCTTATTTTCTCGGAAAAACTAGGTGTCCTGTCGGTATACTGCCTAATTTTTCTCGGGAAAAACTAGGTGTCCTGTCGGTATACTGTCTAATTTTTCTCGGGAAAAACTAGGTGTCCTGTAGGTACACTGTCTAATTTTCCTCAAAACACTTTAGACAGTTACAATTATTTTTGGACTGCTGTTGGGATTTTTTCCGCAAAATTGGGGAAAAAAGAGGCTATTTTGGCTTGGGAATAAGCTAATGGGCCCTTGTGAGAAGAAGAAAATGCCCTGTACTTACTTAAACCAAATTTCTTCAATTTGGGAGTTTTCCCTTTAAAGGGACATAGTTTTATAAAAAACCCTGAAATTTTTTTCATCCCTTTGGGCCCGAAAAAACTTTCCCCGAAAATCAGAAAAGCCAAAACGTCCAAATGAACATAATTTAAAAACAGGGACAAACCCCCAATTTAGCTTTTTTTCATGAAATTTTTTTAAAATTGGGATTAAAAAAATTAAAAAAATTGGGTGTGGAAAAAAACCCAAAAAAATTTTCACAAATTTCAAAAGGCACTTTCAGGCCCCCCCCTTTTTTAAATTTTCCCCAAAAAAAAAAAAAGGGGCAAAAATTTTAAAAAAATTTAAAAATGAAATTTCAAACATTGGTTAACGTTACCTTTTTGGTCAAACCCTTTGGGCCCTTTTTTTGCCTCTTTACAATTCCCAAAATTTTCCCTTTGGGGTAAGGGAGTCTGCTGATCCCAAAACATAAGGGGACCCTCTGGCAACCCCAGAAGTATATATTATTTGTTAGGGCATGGCGCTAAAAAAGTGATCACTTTTTTTAACATCATTTCTCAAATGAAAACAAGTGTTTGGGGTCTAAATAGGGCATTCTTTCACTATTTGAGGCCTCACAAAGGGGGGTGGCGTGAAAAGGCGTCAAGTAATGGATTAATGTAAAAAATTTAACTAATTCAAAAAACAGGAAGTGGATGAGCAACAGACCTGAAATCAAATCCCATGTCAATGCCGTATGCCAAATATCAAAAGGATGTGAAAAGTTGTTGCTGAGAAAACCGTTACAAAAATTTTTTTTCCCCACCAGCACCATACTTTAACCCAGGTTTGCACCTGTGAAGCCCGGCCAAAAATGTAGTTACATAATTATAGCTATATGGGTGTCCAATATTATTAATTCAATCTTGAAATCCCTTACAATAACTATTGGCAATTGCATGGTCAAAGCAGGGAAAGTCTCATAAACATTTTTTATATGGGCTTAGATTCAATTTTAACCTCTGAACCCAAATATTTGCATATACGTACCTGGATTTTTCTAGTAGATATGTTCTCATATGTGCCCCGACAATCTCATTGCTTTTACTAAAGCTGATCTCTATATACTTGCCAAACCTACTACTATTGTCATTTCTAGTCGTCTTGGCATTCCCTATAGCCTGTAAATAATAAATCAAAGTATTTAACACAGTGATTTTTCTCACTTACCGTATAAGTGTTTTTTTTCTGCGGTGACTTGATTTCTGCGTTTTCTGCGGTCAGTTTCGGCACCGCAGAAATAAAAACCGAAGAAAATTTTTATCTAACCTGTTACGATATGTATCCTTCATTTTGACCTGTTTCGTCTAAAGTAATAACGACAAACAGATTATAACGGTTAACGGCTTTTCAAGTTGTATAAAATTGCTGTCGGCTAAGTATGTAATGTGTGTTTGTAAGGATGTACTTATTGCTAATTATCACCGTAGGGAACGTGTTACAGTATCGCGTTTTGCGGTTACAGTATAGAATTTTCAAGATGGAGGATTATTTGTTGGGGGACAGGTAGGTGATTTTTATTCAGGTCTATACTACAAGTAGTTAAGTTTCTCAAAGATGTTTTTGTGCTTTGCTTGTAAGGAACATAATCCGGTATCTAGTTATCTATTTCTTCAGACCCTGCACCGCAGATTTATCTCTATATTGTCTCATAAATATGCAGATTTGACAGTTTAAAAATTTGAATCGAGAGACCAACGCTTTTTTCTCCAATTTCGACATTATATATGCATGCCTAGAAAAAGTAAATCTGCAAAACGTTAGTCATTTATGTTAGGAAAACGTTTTATAAAAGTAAATGACCAGTTTGAAACCTATTTTCCTGTTCGTTAAATGCGTTTGAAAAAATAAACAATGTTTACAGTATAGAACGAGGTGATTTGTGCAGGGGTACAGCATAGACCTAGCGACTTTTATCCGATTTTGTTACAGTTTATACCCAGATTTCGGTTACAGTTTAGACTTCGATATTTCCTATATATACTAGGTAAAATGTATGAATGTTACATAGACTTTTAAATCTCTGTGAGCTTATTGGCCCGATGGCTATTCGTCCGTCTGTCGTACACATGATTGTGTGTGCAATCTCATCCGCTTAGTAACTATACTTGACTAAATGTGATGAAATTTTCATGACTTTCTACCAATTAGATTGTTCAAATGGTTTCGGTTGCAATCGGGGATACGAAAACCAAAAACATAGATTTTTTAAAAAAGGCAATGTTTAAAGACCCTTCTCATCTCGAATCAAAAACATTCAAAGCAAATCATGATCATGGCGGCATTTCGAATGCTTCTTTGTTGAAGTTACGCGACTATTTTGTCATTATTAATTTAAAAGTCGTTTTTTTTTTTTGTTTCAGACATCCTGAATAGAAGTTTTCATGTTTCTGAAAAAGAAAATAATATTGAAAGTTACAGAGTATAAATTAAGGTCAGACAATTACAATATCTTCTCAAGTGAGCCTGATGGATGTACATAATAGTGGCAGAGTCGGGATAAGGCCGTCGACTTCAAATCATCTTTCATTTACTGCTGTAGTTGAAATCCCATCATGACTTTTGATTCTTTATATGTGAGGAATCTATCAAGCTAATTTTCGGAAGGTCGGTGGTTCTAGTCAAATGCCCGCTCGTGTCTGAAATGTTTCGCAAAGGGTATCTGGGATATTTCTTTATTCTAAAGCAGGAATGTTTTCACATGACCTCAGTGTCGTTGAAACTTAAAATCCAAGAAAGCCAAACGTAACAATCCCTTTTTAAATACTTACAAAATACATTACTGTAGATGGAAACTCAAACATAAAATAAAATTTAAGGTTGCAGTATTGCTCACTTAAATACTGTTCAATCACCCTTAGGGTATTGCCTGCTTGTTAATTGTGTCTTTTGACAGCTTATCTGTGGTATGCAGGCTTCATAACCTCCGATCCCCTCTCAAAATTTCATTTTATTTAGTACCACTCATTGTTTTCCCGTTTAGGGCACACGCAATTTTTAACCTGGGGGTAACCTTTTAAACTATTTTATCTCTTATCATCTTGTTTCACTATTAACACTTTAACCATTACTAGAATACATTTTCAGTCTCACCTTCCAAGCATGTCAATGTTTGGACTTTTCTTTTTTAGCTTTTCTTTTCACCTTTTACTAACAATCCGGCGTGCACTAAATTCCTGCCTTTAACACTCGTAAGAGGGGTTGGCAGTATCCAGAGATAGATATATAGATAGTAATATGCCGCTTTTCATAGAACGGCAAACGTATCACATTGAAGGTTCCATGATAACCGCCATATGAACACATCAACAGATGTTTAAAAAAATCTTAAGTGTACCAGTTCATGTTTAATGTGAATTCTGCTGAAGCCGGTGCTAGGAGGCGTGGACGGTAGCTTGCAGTTACCAATACCGTCCATGAACAGGATTAATCAAACTGAGCCTGCAACATTTTCATGTTTTCCGTGTTGGACTTCTTTTAAGGATTCTTTTTTCTCTATTTTATTTCTAATAGGCATTATTATAATGTGTAACGAAATCAAGCAATAATCTTTGTTCTCTCCATACAATTTGATTGTTGTCGTGAAAACAGTCCTACATTAAGACATTACTTATTCTGCAAAAAGTCTCAATCTGAAACTTAAAGTAAGGAAAATAGCAAATTTTAACTTTTCTGCTGAAGTAAAAAAGTAGTACAACCTTTTAAGAATGTATTAAATAGAAAGGTATGGGTTATTTCATAAAAATAATGGATACACGAACTTTGTTTGAAATTTGGCAAGTATCTAAACTGTAACCGAAATCTGGGTATAAACTGTAACAAAATTGGATCAAAGTCGCTAGGTCTATGCTGTAATCCTTCAAAATTAACCTCGCTCTATACTGTAACATTGTTTATTTTTTCAAACGCATTTTACCAACAGGAAAATAGGTTCAGCTGGTCATTTACTCTTATAAACGTTTTTAAACACAAAGGACTAACGTTTTGTAGATTTACTTTATCTAGGCATGCTTAAATGATGTCGGAATGGGAGAAAAATGCGTTGGTCTCTCGATTCGAATTTTTAAACCGTCAAATCTGCATATTTATGTGACAATATAGAGATAAATCTGCGGTGCAGGGTCTGAAGAAATATATAACTAGATACCGGATTCTATTCCTTACAAGCAAAGCACAAAAACATCTTTGAGAAACTTAACTACTTGTAGTATGGACCTAAATAAAAATCACCTACCTCTCTTCCCATAAATAATCCTCCATCTTGAAAATTCTATACTGTAACCAAAAAACGCGATACTGTAACACGTTCCCTACGGTGATTATGCTAATTTAAAAATAAGGATATTTCAAACCATTCCAACCCTTATACTGCTAAATAATCGTTTTTAACTTTAAATGATATCTGATACGATAATTTTGTTGTGATTAATGCTTCCGAGGGATCACTTTGTCTTCAGATTTTAGACTTTGATAAGACGAGTTGCAGACTTTAAATAATGTTTTGTCCAAAGAATGTGCCTCAGAAATAAAGTCCGCAGAAATAAAAACATACCAAAATTTGGAAAAAACGCAGAATTTGGAGCTCACAGAAAAAACCACTTATGCAGTCATTGGGAAAGAGGCCTCTTGATTTTGAGAACAATTATTGCTAACATTGCTAATTTTGGAAGTAAAAAAGTAGGTTTAAGTTCAGATTTTTGGGAATAGCATGATTGTAAAGAAAATTTCAATTTGGAAGAGGTATTTTATCGCAGTCTGTTATATAAACAGTAAAATCACTGTAAAGCGGCCTTCAGCCTTTATATTTTACTTGGAAAAACAATTCTGTGTTGTTTCAAACTAAGTATTAGAGTAATTTTATCTTGGAAAAGTACATCATATCATTGTTAAGCTGTCTTCATAACTACTTCCCAAGAGCTATTTATAGCGCGCAAGTGACATTTGTTTCTGACCTATCAATTGGTTTAAATTTTTGTGTCAAACAGTTTGCAAAATGAGATTCAATAAACAATAAAGAAAATATTGTGTAAATTATTTTTTGTTATCAAAACCAACAGTAGATGTATCAGTCAAAGAATAAAGAAAAAATTGAAGAAAATGTTTATATCTTTCGGGTCACATACCTCCATGATAGGATTGGATGCCAGTACTTTCTTTTCAACTTGGGTTTCAGCCTGTGAACCACCGACCATAGCGAAATATCTCATGGCATACTTGGCGGAGACAGTTTTCCCCGCACCAGATTCCCCACTGACAATGATAGACTGGTTTTGCTCAAACCTGCATTTAGAAAAATAAAATCAGTAAATCAGTCACGCCATCACAAAACCAACATAGTGCGTCCGCGACCAGCATCAATCCAAACAAACCTAGGCATCCGCCCAGTCTGTTCAGGATCCATGATGTTTGCCTACAAACCCTATTACAAGTAGAGAAATTGATAGCGAACATCATGGATCCTGATCAGACTGCAAAGAAGCCCAGGCTGGTCAGGATCAATGCTGGTAGCATATGCACTATGTTGGTTTTGTCATGGCGTGGCTCAAGTCAGACTGATTCCATGGGTGCAAGGTAAAAATATCAGAAAACCTGAAAACGCTGAATTTCAATTGGTTTTACATAGAAAAACAGATCTTTTAGAGAGTAAAAAAAAACCCTGAACTTCAGGCAAATGTCCAAAAACTTGTACCCATGTAATTCCTATGAATAACATTTTAGAGGTCAATTTGGTTAAATAGAAGATACTGAATGAGTGTAGATTTAATACTAAATTCATTGAACAAGTTGAATAAAATCAAATTATGCTAACCTCTGGCAAGCATAATATTGTTTTATTTGAAGAGGTCAATAAATTTAGTATTGAATCTATAGGACTATTATATCCTATTTATCACATATCCAAAATAAGAACGTCATTTTTCATTGACGCTTCTATAGTGCAACGTTAACATTAGCGCTATTTTCACACTATGTTTGTACATACCACAAATGATGTGACATCATCAAAGTGTTATTACACTAGTGTAATATTGTTTATATTGAATGACTTTATTACACTCCTGCTCCACGGTTTATGTGACAATACTTTTTCCATCTTCTTTTCTCAATAATCACAGTTCATATTATAAACTATCCCTAAATCAAAATTTCACAATATTTTTATTAACTACCTCAATTTCTCATGTCACCCGAGATACCAATTTACTTATCTTTCTGGAACCTATTGTGACACACTGAAATTTTATCAATATAATTCCGAATTTATCATGTAACCTTCAAGTGATAAAAAGAGTGGTGGGGCAGTCTTTTTATATTTTAGACAAAATTTTTTATATATTACCCATTATTATATTTAATATTTAGATATATTTTTCACTATTAATTATCGATCAATCATCATTTTGACAGTCATTCTTTCGAAATATTCAATGTCATAGCGGGAAAAAAAGCATGTAGGATTAATTTCAACATACAACTAGAAGTTAAACCGCCAACTCATTAGAAGTAATAAAACCCAGATCTCGCAAGTAATTCCATATTTACCTGGACATTCTTTTGTACGCCTCCTCTGCCACTGCGTAGATGTGTGGATCCATGGCACCCATGTCCTGACCGCTGTATGCTTGTATGATGTCATTATTGTATATATCTAGCTGCTCATATGGGTTAATAGCTACAAGAACAATTCCTGCAAATTAAATAAATTGATATTAATTACTTCTTTAATGTAAAGAAAATGAAATTGCTTTTTAATTTATGGAAATATTTGTGTCAATGAAACCTTAACCTGCAAAAATTAATTATAAGATTACATGTATCAAATTTGAAGAGAAAAATGTCATATTTTGTATCACAGTCAAAATTTCAATTAAAATGAATAAAGTGATGGCCACTTTTGCCCACCATAATGTGACTGTTCAGAAATGTTATAATTACATGTTGAAATAAGTGAAATACTAAGAGAAAAATGTCATATTTTGTACCAGTCAGACCAAATTTCAATTAAAATATAATGACTACATGTATGTAATACACCAGGAGAAAAATGATCATATGTTATTGCAGGAATTGATTTGCCATTACAGATTTGTAAGGAAATATAATGAAGGCCCCCTACTGCACACTATACTTGTACAAAAAGTTTAATATGCAAAAACAAAAATAAGATTATACAATTATACTTAAAACACCAAAACAAAAAATCGTTATTAATTTGAATCACAGAACACTCAAACAAGTAAAATATAATGATTGCCAATATTGGCCACCATTCTTATACAGAAATTTAATTTCATAATACAACGTTCTTATTGTATACAATGTAGCTCAAAAATGTCATATTTTGTATCACAGACCAAATTTCAATAAAAATAATTATAATGATGGCCATTATTTCCCACCATACTGTTCAGAAGTGTTATAAATTCATATTTAAATGAATAAAATACTAGAGAAAAATGTCATATTTTGTGTCACAGATCAAGAGAAAAATGTCATATTTTGTATCAAAGACCAAATTTCAATTAAAATATAATGATGGCCACTCTTGCTCACCATACTTGTAACACTGAAGTCTGACCTGAGTATGACTGCAGGACATATTTATTAGTATTTAATGTATACATCATTATCAGTATTATAATCAGCCGTCAGTGACTGTCACATTAACATGCCCACAACAAACTAGCCACTGGTCACTACAAATTGAGCTGTCCACCGTCAACTTTTACTGTCCAGCTGGTTTATTTGACTATCTCTGACAATTTTCTTAATATCAAAATTTAATGTAATTTTTCTTTTTATTGCATAAAATTATTCTGTGAAGTTTTTTTCTTTCCTTATATTTAATTTTACATTTTCCTTTAAACAATTTCATATTTGCAAATACAATGTTCAGTGTAAATTTGCCTATGTTATTTTTTTCCTTCTAAAAAATTTAACATATTTAACATTTTTTTTGCTTCATTGGTTTTCTTTTATTATACATGTATATTACATGTATATATTTATTTCAAAAATCCAACAAAACCAACTTTCTGTCCTAAATCAAATACATGCAAATGCATTTCACTTGGCATTATAACATGCAAAAACATAGATCATAATGCCTGACTTTTGACTTTTATTATTATGTTCATTTTACTAGATATACCATTAAACAAACAATTTTTGTTTTTCTAAATAATCATACATATTAAGCCAGTAATAAAAATGTGTTTTCTTTCCCTTCGCTTGAATTTGTTGTTACCTTTTCTTATCTGTATCAATAAGTAAACACTCTGATTAACTAAAATAAATACAACACTACGAGGTAGTCCGTAGTTGCACCACGTAGTCGCACCACCTAGGATATACTCCGCCGCTGGTACATTCATTAAATCAACCGGACATCTAATTTACAACATAACAATGTTATCTCTTACAGTACGGGGAACACAAAAGCTTGGCCACTTTTTATCATTCATGTTATATTGACAAGATTGCTGCAATAACCAAGTACCTTCTTATTTGCTTCTGTAACGTTTACTCTAGCTTTGCACCGGGCTAGTTACACGCACACGTGGGAAACTGTTTCACAACATTATTGATTAATCAACGCACCATTACACTTGTGAACATATACCTTAAACAGAATTCTCTTGTACTCTAATGTGCCTATATTTTGACATTATTTTATGGGTCAGCTTGACACAAAAACAGTTTTAGCTCAACCACTTTTTGTTACTTGGTACGATGAATTTTGCACTAAGCTATATGCATTTTCATTATTGTCTTCCCTCAGATCACTGTTAATGTAAATAAGACATTGAGTAGTATATGTAATTAGGCGATACACAAAATGATCAGATAAATCATTGGTGTCGGCCAATGCTGTAAATATAATTTCTTTACATTATTTGATTCCTTTTTTTATTTTGATTCTTTTTTTTGCAGAGTTTTACATCACAACAACACAGTATAGGTCATATGGCGACTTTCCAGCTTTACTGCATTAATTTCAGGCATGAACTGACACCTAAGTAGAACCATCAACATTCCATATAGCTGCATAGCTTTGTCACATGAAATGATACAAAGTTTCTATCGGGATTCAAACCCACAGCAGTGAGTGGCAAGTGGTTTGAAGTTTACAACCTTAATCACTTGGCCATGGACGCCCCTATATAATTTGATTAGACAAGGCTGAGAACTGACTTCAAATCAAATAATTTGCAGGTTCCTTTAGCATATCAGTTGCTTAAATGAATTCCTTCAAGAAATCTTTCGCGATCAATAGGTAAGTGGTAAATTTAAAGTGCCTGATTATACATAAATATATGACTAAAGGACTGCCTGAGGTTTGCCTTCATTTCTACAGCTTAAATGATACTGACAGGTTTCGTATAAATCATAAGTTAAAGCTGCTGGAACATAGTTTGATTACACTTTCACTGCCGTATATATAGCGAGCCAGTGTTAAAATCTTAACTAGAAAATCTTATCACTTCCGACAGAATCAAACTTAAATGAATTCTGTATAAACTAAGTTGGTCAGCCAACAGTGTAGAGCTTGATCAGACTGCACGGACATTCAGGCTGGCCTAGCTGGCTCTATACTGATTGCAAAGAGAGTTAATCCCTTCCAGTTCCCGCATGATAAGGGATAAAGAATTGAAATAAAACATATGTTACATATGAATGGGTATTCAATTTATATGAACATGTAATCATAATTGAGGTGCAATTACCCATCATTACTTTAGCATGATTATCATAAATGATCAAGTTAAGATAACAGTGTACAATGTAAATGAAATTATATCATGTGATATCATATGACCTGACAAAAGACAAATCATTTGTTTTATCCAAGAAAATATCATACAATTTCCAATCATATTTTGTAGTTTGCTAGGTTTTTATGGTGAACAAACACAGAATAAAATATATGGCGCTGAAACAGGAAACACTAGGGGCGCAAAATCATATATCATGTCATTTACCTTCATATAAGCCATTTTTCCATATACATGTATATATCTGGTCATTTTGCCCCATACATCATACCATTTTCCCCACATATACATGTATTATGTCAATTCCCCCATATATCAATAGTCATTATTTTTATATATCATGTTATCTTCCTTTCATATGTCATATCATTTTTCCATAAATATCATGCCTTTTTACCCATGCATCAGTCATTTTCCTCCCACTCTCCATGTCATATCCCCCTCATATATCATGTCATATTTCCCCATATATCATGTCATATTTCTCCCATATATCATGTCATATTTTCCCCTCATATATCATGTCATATTTCCTCATATATCATGTCATATTTCCCTCATATATCATGTCATATTTCCCCCATATATCATGTCATATTTCCTCATATATCATGTCATATTTCCCTCATATATCATGTCATATTTCCTCATATATCATGTCATATTTTCCCCATATATCATGTCATATTTCCCCATATATCATGTCATATTTCTCCCATATATCATGTCATATTTTCCCCCATATATCATGTCATATTTCCCTCATATATCATGTCATATTTCCTCATATATCATGTCATATTTCCTCATATATCATGTCATATTTCCTCATATATCATGTCATATTTTCCCCTCATATATCATGTCATATTTCCTCATATATCATGTCATATTTCCCTCATATATCATGTCATATTTCCCCCATATATCATGACATATTTCCTCATATATCATGTCATATTTCCCTCATATATCATGTCATATTTCCTCATATATCATGTCATATTTTCCCCATATATCATGTCATATTTCCCCATATATCATGTCATATTTCTCCCATATATCATGTCATATTTTCCCCCATATATCATGTCATATTTCCCTCATATATCATGTCATATTTCCTCATATATCATGTCATATTTCCCTCATATATCATGTCATATTTCTCCCATATATCATGTCATAATTTCTCCCATATATCATGTCATATTTTTCCCCATATATCATGTCATATTTCCCTCATATATCATGTCATATCCCCCTATATCATGTCATTCACCCCCCCCCCCCCCCCCCCCCCAAAAAAAAAAATCATTTCATCTTCTGGTATTTTTTTTTCATGATTAATGCACATTCTGCAGAAATTCAGTAAATAAACTATATTTGGTTTGCCAATTATTTCTGCTAACAAATCTATATACCAGTATAGATTCTGGAAAATTCTCAAATACAGAGGGGTTAAAGTTAATAGTCAATATTTCCCTGTTAACTAAATATAGACATCTCTACTAGCCTATTCTTATAACAATTTTTACCATTGTCTACCAGTGCCAGCATTGTAATCCACGAGGGGTTAATTCACCATGTAATGAAGATAAATAACTACTATAGTTTTTAGGTCTACTAACTGAGTTAGCCTGACACTTATGCAAAACATTCTAAACTGTCAGCCCTTCTAAAATGTATGACCTTGAAAAAAGTATGAGTATAACCTTAACAAGAGCTGTCGGTAGGACAGCACGCTCGACTATTCGAAGTGCTTGATAGTAAAAGATCCTTGATAATGTTAAATTTTTTAAGTTCACAAAAGGGCTAATTTTTTTTTATAAATTCATGTTATAGGCCTTAGAGAGAGTCTAATTATACAGTATTGGCTTGACTATTCGGAAGGTAATGTCACGAGTGTGTTTTATTGAGTACAATAATACTAATTACCTATGAATACATAAATTTGACAGAAAAGGTACAAAGGCTTGTTATTAAGATGTTTTATCAAGTAAATAACTGCTTTATTATTATGAATGCATAAAATTGTCCCAAAAAAGGCACAAACCCTTCAGTAGTTATTGAGATAAACAGCTTACAAGCAAAACTTTACCATGAATTTCTAAGTTGAAAAAGGGGAGAAAAATCAGCTTAATTGCAAGATAGAATTATGGATCTTTGTCAGTGGCCTACAATTATGACCCTAAATGCATATGTGAAGTTTTAAATAAATATCTTTAATAGTTATTGAGATATGTAAAACTTGCATGTAAACATTAACCAAGAGACTAAGTAGAAAAGGGGATATGAATCAGCCTTAATGCAAGATAGAGTTATGGAACTTGGTCAGTGACATACAATTATGACCCTCCAATTATGACCCTAAGTGCATGTGTAAAGTTTCAAGTAATTATATTTGAAGACCTTTAACCTTTAACCAAAATTTCTAAGTTTCAAAGGGGCAAAGTAATTCTGCAAATATTGCAGGCAGAGTTATGCAATTTTGCAAACTGATGTACATTGTTACTATAAAAAAGTATTTTAAATTTCAATTGAATATCTCAAGCAATAATTGAGATATTTGATTTTACAAAAAACTTTAACCAAAATTTCTAAGTTAAAAAGGGGAATAATTCTGTCAATATTGTAGGCAGAGTTATCCAACTTGTCAATCTGATGTAGCTTGTTACTATAAATAAGTATTGTAAGTTTCAATTGAATATCTCAAGTAATAATTGAGATATTTGACTTTACAAAAAACTTTAACCAAAATTTCTAAGTTAAAAAGGGGCATAATTCTGTCAATATTGTAGGCAGAGTTATCCAACTTGTCAATCTGATGTAGCTTGTTGCTATAAAGAAGTATTGTAAGTTTCAATTGAATATCTCAAGTAATAATTGAGATATTTGACTTTACAAAAAACTTTAACCAAAATTTCTAAGTTAAAAAGGGGCATAATTCTGTCAATATTGTAGGCAGAGTTATCCAACTTGTCAATCTGATGTAGCTTGTTACTATAAATAAGTATTGTAAGTTTCAATTGAATATCTCAAGTAATAATTGAGATATTTGACTTTACAAAAAACTTTAACCAACGCAGACGCCGACGCGGACGCTGACGCCGACGCCGACGCCGGGGCGACTACAATAGCTCTCATATTCTTCGAATAGTCGAGCTAAAAAAATGTAAGACCTTCAAAAACATGTATGACCGTTTAAATGCAAATCACTGACAAGTTAGACCTTAGAAAATTAATGCAAGACATTTTAAAATGTTAGACCCTCTTAAAATGTAAAGACCTTCTAAAATTGTAAAGAACTTCTAAAAATATAAGACCTTCTAAAAATGTAAGACATTCTAAAAAATGTAGGACCTAATAAATGTAAGACCTTCTAAAAATGTTAGACAGTCATAATGGCCGTGATTTGCATGACAGTAAGACAGGCATGAAAAAATAAAAAGTAAAAAATCAACATTTTGATTTTGACAGAGAGTTTTCACTGTTATACAGTCATTTATATAAAATTTGTTTTCCATCATTATGTAATCAAATTTGTCATATGATTTCAGTATATTTTATCAGCTATTTACTGTCGCAGAAGAAAGTCTGTTAAAGTACAAGGCC